TATAGAAGGTCTATATACCTTATAGAAGCCTTATAGAAGCCCAATATACCCTAAACTCCCCACCTGTAGTTTCCTTCAACCCTAAACCCTAAACCCTAATCCCTAAACCCTAAACCCTAAACCCTAAATCCTAGAACGACCGCTTCTTGCGACCGTTAACCGAACTCTGAGCGATGCTCTGATTATTCGTCGTGGATGTTTGTAGCTGTCGCCATATTGACTTCCGCCTCCCAAGTTCTCCAGAATAATATAGGGGCCTTCATAATTACCTATGCTATTTGAGGTTCCTTGCTCTAATTGTAGTAGAATTTTCCCCAAAACCCTATTCTAATGATTAAGGCCATGATTAAGGCCCCTACCTTATTCTGTGTGAAGCTTCTAAATTTGAAAGCCTGGCTGCCCGTCGCAAAGTCAGGAGTCAGAAGACTGCCTTCAGTTCTTCTGCCAGAGCTATGCATGATTAGAAGTAGATTTAGGGTTTAGGGTTTAGGGTCTACCGTACGAAGTAGGCCAGAGTCCTTAGATCTCAGCCCACACGAACCTCACCCTCAACCCCCAATGGCTGAGATTTTCCCTGCAACTCTTGAACTTTGGACCCTGCAGAGCCTGAACCTAAAGCCGGAATCTCAAGACCCGAAGTCCCAAACCGAAAACTCCATCCCTAGCCAGCGCCGCCCCGAGTACCCTTTAATGAGAGCCCTCATGGTCCTTAATAGTGGGGACGTAACGTATAATAGAGGGTAGTTGGGGGTGCTGGATATCCTAGAGGGTTAAGGGACGTACTACTGCACAGCCCTAAGCTCCGAACATCCCTAGAACCCCTACTACACTGCTTTAGAATCCTACAGCGCCCTTGCACAACCTTAAAGCAGACCCTTAAACCCTAAACCCTAAACCCTAAACCGATCTCTGAACCTCTGAACCGACGACCTCCAGCTCCCAAGTGTGATGCCATGGCCCTGCTTGCTTTGGGTTCGGGCTTGCTGCGGGTCTCGGCGACCGCTCGGCCAAGGTGCAGCCCTAAACACTAGTAGGGTTTAGGGGATAGGCGTTAGAGATATCAGGATCCTGATTGGAAGCCGCCAGGGCAAATTGGGAAGAAACTATTGGGATTCTTCAAGGGTAGAGGGCTGGGACCTATAACTGTATCGAAGCTCTCTCTCTCTCTCTCACTAAGTTTATGTTTAGGGGGTTTTCCCATCATCCGAGACCTTACGGTGCGATTGCAAGAGCGACTGTGTACTAGAACGCGTGAGTTGAGTTCCTTTCGCTTGCAGAGCTTAGGCTTCGGGATTGTCAGGATGTTGGATGTATTCGAGGGGGATGGGCCGTTTTAAAAACCGGGGAAGAGATGATCAGGGCTCCGAATCTGCAAATAGGTTGTTTATCTGGTCAGAGTAGATTCAGTGTTGGTTTCCAAGTACCCCGGCCGGTCAAACCCCAGAGGGTTTAAGCAGAGCCCCTGCCCACCAACTGCAGCTCCTTATCACAACAACCGCACCGAACGACCGGATCCAACACAGAGTCCACTCTGAGCCTTATAAGCGACAGAACACTAAACCCATGGTTTTGGGATGTTCGGGGTGTAGGTTACGGGGTTGCTATACGGGACCCTAAACCCTAAAACCTAAACCACCGTTACTAGAAGGGTTTCGGGTTCAGGGTCTTAAACTCTAAACCTTAACTCTCAGTTCTGAACGAAAGACCGCTTAAACTAAATCCTACACACAAATCCTAAACTATCATTACACCCAATCCTGAAGAGTCCATGTACCCATATAGTACGCGCTTTGGCCGTAAAGTAACTAATACAGGGACTGCTCTAAGGTCAATGTATATATTGTACAGAGGGGTAAATGGACCATCAGGGAATGTCTGTGCAGGAAGATGGGGACGATGTTGAGCTGCATCTCTGTGTCATGGAGTTTGAGTTCAGGGCGTCGAATCCCGGGCTTAGGGAGTCGGGTGTCGGGTTGAGCGTTTCAGGCTTAGGGTTTGGGGTTGAGGATTTAAGGTTTAGGGTTTAGGGTTTGGAGTTGAGGGAGTAGCCCCTCCAATTCTCAGCGCCTTGCTGATTGTGAGGTACAAGATGCCTACGGCCAGGTTACGAACTTGAACGAGTATGGATGCCTCAAAACGGAACACAATCCCGAAACCCCAAAGCACCCAAAGCCCTAAACCCGAGAAGCTTCAAGCCCAAATACTTGAACCCTGAACATGTAAACGAGGTAATTACTAGAGGGGCCTTAATCGTAACAATTAGGGTTTGGGGTATATCGCACTATAATTATTATAAGGAGCCCCGAAAACCCTATTCTAACTATTAAGGCCCCTACAGTAACTCTAACGCCCTGCGTCCCTAAAGCCGGAACTCTCAGGTAAGACTCTAAACCCAAAGCCCGCAACCCCTAGGACCTTCTACCAGATTTGTCTAGTAGCCTGTATGGGAGGGCCTTTCGGATCTTGCCACTCTTTATTGCTAATTCTTCGACGGGCAGTAAACCCTCAGCACTTCCAGACTAGACCCTAAACCCTAAACCCTAAACCCTAATCAAAGCCAAACAAGCGTCAGGCCGCCGCCGCCGCCCGCCTTCCGCGCTTGTCAAGCTCCGCCACGTAGGCGAGGAGCAGCGGTGGCTGCGGCGGCGGCAGTGGCCGCTTGGATGTCGCCTAGTCGGGTCACACCATCGGTGTGATTCCAAGAGGGTCCAGATATACTACCATATGGTCCACACAACCATTATAGGGATGGTCTTTTGAGATACATACATACATACATATATACATACATACATACATACATACATACATACATACATACATGTCTGTGCATATACATACCGCTTTTTCTTTATGTCTACGTATATGTATGCATGTATCTGTATATATATATATATATATGTATGTATACATATATATATATATATATATATGTATACTTGTGAACCGTGTGGGGTTATGACCGGTATCCCGCCTTTTTCTCGTTTCAAGAGTCCCTTGCACTCCGACACTCCAAAATTAGCTTCGATTGGTGTAGAGGGTTTACAAGTTTCGGGGTGCATGGCCCTGTGCTTACTTTCTGAACGCCATCTGAAGTTGAGAGCCCAGGCCTTGATTCATGAAAGAAGTCTGACTTGCCTTGCCTAGGTTCGTCCAAAAGTCTACGGTTTGGGGTTTAGGGTTTAGGGTTTCGATTCGGCAAGAGGGACATAATAGGTCGCGATTTTGCAACGCAAACTGACCCAGCTGTGATTTGGGAAAGCTGACAGAAGGATGCTTGCAGGTACGGGTCCGTCGTTTCAACCAAGCAGACTCCTGCCGGGAGCCGCAAAGACGCCCCCTAACACTTCGAGAGTTTATAGTTGAGCGGGGGACTCTCCTCACTTGCTGAACTCCAAACCCTGTTTAAGGTTTCGGGTTTAGGGTTTGAGGTCCAAGCGTATACAATTGCGGCGGAAATTGGGAATCGCTAGGCAAGCTTTTGGAAAGTCTATACATGACCTCATGTCCTAAACTCTTGACCGAAAAAGCCCGTAACCCTCAACCCTACACCTCAACACAGGAAGAATGGTACTAGAAATAGCAAACTAATAATAATCATAATCGTGCAAACAATTAAGATGATGATGGTGATGATGATGGTGATGGTGATGATGATGAAGAAGAAGATGATTACCATCACCCAAACCCCCGCGCGCCCCTCAACAACGAGCTCCTCGTGACCTGGGACTCTGATGGCACTGGTGCCAGTTGAGACGATTGTCGCTAGGGTTGCAAACATGAAACACCTATCATAGTTGAACTCCACCCTAAACCCTAGACCCTCAACCCACAAAGCCATGAGACCTAGCGCCATATAAGCCCTAAGCCAGCAGAGGTCGCCGGCGCGGCGCGGGCGGCCCGAAGTGGCGACGCGGTCACCCGTTCTGCGGGTCAAGTCCACGGTGAAGGCTTCCAAATCGTTGAGCGATGTTCAGGGGTTTAAGGGTTTAGGGTGTAGGGTCCAGGGTTTAGGGTTTAGGGATTTCCTAATGGCTTCTAAAGCGGGATCTATATGGCACTAGAATATGGTCTTGGGTTCGGGATTTGCAGAGGGTTTAGGGTTCGCGGTTTCTGGCCAAGGGATGGATCTTGATGGCAGAAAGTTCTAGGATACAAGGAACATCGACTTGGTTTTGGCTGTGGTGTTCCAGGGTTTAGAGTCAAGAGGAGCTCCTGCTTTGAGTCCTGCCTATGGTCTCCATTGTAGTTCCTTTTTTTGGTTTAACCAATTCTATATTAAGGAATTTATAAGGTATCCCCAAAGAGGAACTACAATGGAGACTATAGGTGCAAGTTTATACACTTGGAAGGCGAGGTGTAGAGCCGAGTTTGCTTTCTACCTCGAGCTTCGTGGTTGGACAGTTTCATTGGTAGGGTAATTGCATATGTATGTGACATTATACATGACATGTGTGTATACATGAAACCATACTTGCATTCATGCATGCATGCATGCATGCATTCATGTCCATGTGTGCGTACAAAGTTATACACAGTATAAGGTATAAAGTGAGCATACACCATCACATGCCTGTTCCCAGCACCTAAACCTGTGACTACTGAGTTGCTGAAAATACATGTGCGTATGCCCTCGATCGTTTCTGATCTCCCTGGCATATAACTTCGCCCTGCGAGTTTTCGGCAGAAGGCCAAAAAACCCTAAACCCAAAACCCCGAACCCAAGACCCTAAACCCTTTAAGCCCTACCCTAAACCCGAAATCCCTGAACCCTAAACCCTCAAACCCTAAAGCCCTAAGCCTGAAACCCCTAAACCCTAAACCCCTAACCCCTAAACCCTAAACCCTAAAACCTACAGCAGCAGCCAACAGCCTTCGTGAGGCTCCTTAGCCATTCCCGCTTTGTCGTCCACCGTTGCAGGAATCACATGGACTAATATTATAGGGGCCTTAAAACTTACCTCTACTATTTTGGGGGTTCCTTGCTATAACTATAGTATAGTATACCCCAAAAGCCTTATTCCAATCATTATAAGGCCCCTTTTCATACTATGTACGGCGCTCGATCGAGACTACGAGTCAAGACAGTCTCTGTAGTTCCTGAAATGAATCCTCTCTCCAGAACTTCTAGGCCCCGCCCTGAACCCTAAACTCTAAACCCCTAAACCCTAAACCCCGAGTCCTTCAACCTTTGGGCATCCCCAAGCTCTGAACCCAAACCCTAAACCCTAAACCCTAAACCCCAAAGCCCTAAACCAAGCTCTGAACCCACCCCGGTTTTCCTGCAGACCTCTCCGCGCGCACGGGGGGTTTGGTCCTGGTCTCTGGGGTCAACTCTCGGCTGACAGAGCTCTGGCTGCAGTAGAACTCTTAGTAGCTGGGAGGTAACCTTTAACCTTTTGGGGTTTATATAATCCTACCATAATTGAAAAGGTTAACCTTTTTTGGGCTAGGGTACTCAGCCCCTAAGACTATGATATTCTATATTCTTGTGTACTTTATTGTATTATTCAGTATAGTACTTGCGCATAATCGCGTGTTTCGGATGTACGTTGTGTCTCCGAGAACTTGACCCGACCTTTGAGGCCTCTTAGAAGAGAACTACGATGATTATGTGTGGGCCTTTTATCATGGGTACCGTATCTGAGTCTAGAGCGTCGGGTTCGTTCCTCCGGTCATTCCAGGTAGGTAAGGGTTCCCCCAAGGGGGAATCTGACAAGCCTGCCGCATAGAATGACCACAAGACAAGAAACTAGTGCCCTGAGCCCTGAGGGTTTAGCTCATTGGAGTGTCACCATACATATTGCTACCATAGGGAGATTTCACCCGCGCCATGATTCGCTGAACCCTAGACTCTAAACCTCCCAAAAAAGACCTTGAAATGAACCCGCGGTGTCAAATTAACGAGTCCATGTTGATACGGCAAGATGCTATGCTGACCAAGCCTCATTCAGATTAATTACCAGGCACCCTAAAACTCAACACTGCACGGTACCAGGATAGTACCGGGTAGCAACCTTGTTGCCTTATTGTAAGGAGCTCCACAAGGCAGAACAGGGGCGGCCCAAGTAAAAATATCCTTATAGACCTCTACAGCCCCATAGCAAGGAATAGAGACGAGAAGCCCCAACAATGCCAGAGCACACCAGCAAGCAAGTCCCACATTTTGCAACCCTGACATCGCTCAACCCCAATCTACTGAAGCCCTACCGCTAATCCCTGAACCGTAACCTTAACTTACCCAAAGCCCTAAGCCCCCAGACATAGCTCGGACGAGGATCTTTGTCTGCTGGCCCCAGAGGGCTTTGCTGTGAAGCGAGTTGATGGCTGCATCGCAAGCCTGCAGGACCTGTCCGATGGACTTCATGAGTGGTACTAGAGAGGGGCTTAGTGCTGAGCACTTGCGGTCACTATAAAGGTAGTTCTCTAAATTAGGGTCTCCTTTTAGGGGCCAAATATAGAACGGCACCCTTCTAAAAAGGACCCCGAAAGTGACCCTAATTTTGCAAACTACCCATAAATGTTACAATGAGAAGCTTTTCAAAGGGGTTGCTATAAGGTTCTCAGGTGGGAAATATAAGGGGTGGATATTCAAACGAGGCTTGCATGAGGTTTCTGTGGTGTTTAAGGTTGAGAGTTTTGGGATGCACAGGGCTTTGAACCCCAAGCCCTAAGCCCTAAACCCTAAGCCTGTCATAGGGTCTCTTCTGGCATTAAGGAGGGTTTCGTACCGAGTTTTTTGAGACGCTCATAGGTGTTCTGTCGGCTTTGAGGCTCTAAAACAGGGTTTAGGGTCTAGGGGTCAGGGTTTAGGGTTTTAGGGTTTAGGATTTTAGGGATTATGGGTTTAAAACAGGGTTACCGGGTTGAGGGTCTACGGTTTTGGGGATTAGGGTTTAAAGCAGGGTTTCGTAATGGTTTTATAGAGACTGCGCTGCGCCACTTCGGGAGAGATGGTCGTGAGGATGCTAGTCTAACAGATCAGGCCGCTGCCGCAAAGCAGCAGTTAGGCTTGAAGGTTTTGATGTAGGAGTTTAGGTAGGTCTAGGAGATTAGGGTTTGGGGTTTAGGGTTTAGGTTTAGGAGTTTAGGCTTCAGGGATAGGTTTAGGAGATCAGGGTTTAGGGTTTAGGGTGTTCAGGAGTACCGTAGGCCTTAAACTAAGGCAGACCTGAAAGGCCGAGGAGGGGTGCACTCTCAGCTCTAGGATTTCGTCAGCCGAAACTCTGTAAGGCTTCATGTACCCATGTGTGTAGTTCTCTACATTAGGGTGCCTTTTCAGGTCCCCAGTATAGTACGGCACCTTATAAAAGAGAAAGGACGAAGAGAGACCCCCAATTTAGAGAAGTACCCATCTTGTATATCGTAGATACTTGGGATTTGAAGGGGTTCCTGCATACCCATATCGTATATACTGAGGCTTTCAAGGGGTTCCTAGATACTGTATGGTTTAGATGGTACCCCGAATGCAACCCTGATGGTGTTTTAATTCTTGCTAAGGCTTTGGTACTGTGTCATGTGGATAGCCGGGTTTACGGTTCCAGGTTAGGGGTGTCTGTACCTCATCTCGGCCCCCAGCTCGCAAGATACGTCTTGCAAAGGACCCCTGTAGGGCATTGGGTTTCGGCTTTAGGGATTTAGGTTTTAGAGTTCAGGGTTTAGGGACTGCGTACTTTCCGAGGTCTTTTGTGGCTCGTGTTGCCTTTCTGTGGTTTTAGGCTCCATAACAAAACTACAGGCAACTTCATAATACCCACAAGGGAGCCCTTTGCCTATAGTTTCCCAACCCGAACGAAGCCCCAAACCCTCCCAGATGTCCTTGCCCCAACCCACAACCCTAAACCCGAATCCTTGCCCTCAGCAGGATGCGGAAGCGATTCTGGAGCAGGCACAGGCCGAATATCCCCACCTCGACATCGCCGGTCTAATGCATGTGGGAGGTGGGCTTGGGGTTCAGGGTTCTGGTTCGGGCCATATGGGTTTGTGGCTCCGATGACCTAACTTCTTTAGGGTTCTACCCTCCAACTAAGGCATCATCAGGCACTATTGAAAGAATCCTGCCCTCAATTAAGGGGTCGTCATAACGATCACTTCGTTAGGCTCTCAAGTACGCTCCGATAAGGGACCCTCTCAAGCCTTGCACAATAAACCATGAAGCACTGCCGGGTCTGAATTTTGCAATCATGCTTACCCCAATCCCTATAAAAATGGGTGACGGTCCACGGGGCTTTGTGGTATCAGGGTTCTTGAGCACCGGCCCGTAAGGTTCGGGAATGTGTGGTGGGTTGTGGATCTAGGGCTTTAGGGTTTAGGGTTATAGTGTTCCTTAAGGGTTCTGGGTTTAGGGAAACACTCAAGTTGGTCTGCAGGGCTTTCACATACTTGCATGTTCCGAACAGGCTTGCGCAAGTTCGTGACAGTAGTCGGCACGTCACAGCCGTGATGAGCTAAAGGCCAGAAAAAAGAAGCACCCAAACCCAAAGACTCTGAAACTCTACTGAAACCCTAAGCCCAAATTCCTAAACCCTAATCCTAAACCCTAAATCCTAGACCCAAGACCAAACACCTTCTATGCAGGGACTACAAGGCCAAAGTATGCAAATAGTATTTTGGCACATGAACCCCCATGATTTCTTGATGCTAAGGTATCTGTAACTGCAGTCTGCGTTCCTTCATTCACTCAACTCCTACCAGGAATTTACAGCCCTTATCGTAGCCCTTACAGACACTCTTCTAGTAACCCCCTAAACCCTAAACCAAAACCCTAAACCCTAAACCCTAAACCCCAAGCCCTTATGGAAGCCCCCAAAAAATGGAGGTGCTGCAGCTTCGAACTCAGCAGGCACCATTGCCACTGGAGCAGCCCCTGCTTTCGACGAAACGCGGCTTATTTCTTGTTTAGGGTTTGGCTTGGGGGTGTAAGGTTTAGGGCCGATGGTTTAGGGTCTTCATGTTGTAGGAGTTTCAGTTGAAAGGGGCAAAAGTTGGCACTGAAGCAGAGTATGCACACTGTTTATGTTGCAGGCTTTGGGGTGTTGGCGGTTTGCGTTCATATCGAATCGCTGAAGTGGTGTGTTGATTGGTTGGTTGGCTGGCTAGCTGGCTGGCTGAGTGGGCGGGTGGGTGGGTGGGTGCGCTTGCTTGCTGCTGGTTGGGTGGCTGGCTGGCTGGCCGGCCGGCTGGTGGGTTGGTTGGTGGGTTGGTGGATCGGTGGGTTGGTGGGTTGGTTGATTGGTTGGTTGGGCTCTACTGCTGTTGCGACGTTGGGTGCCTTCAAAAACAGCCTCAAGCCTCGGCCGTGTGGCTTCTGCACATTAAACCCTATGCATACCCTATCGCTGTCAAACGCAACGTCCTAAACCGAAAACCCGCAAGGAGCACACCGGGCTCGTCCACGCTCCCTTCCGGGTCCATAGTCCATGGCACAGTGAATAGAATTGAAATGTTGTGTTGGGTGAGTTGTTGATTGTAAGGGTGGCTTTAGGGCTTAGGGCTATCTAGAGTGGGTTTAGGGAAGTACCGAACTGGCAGCCCCGAAACCTTCTGACCCCAAACCCGTAATCTACACAAACTTCAGCAATTAATCAAAGAAGGCCCACCCTCAGAAATCTCAATCCACACTGGTGGAGTTTGGAATCCTGGAAACCCTCAACCCTAAGCTCTAAACCCTAAACCCTATACCCTAAGCCGTGTCAAGCCGAGAATCCGAGAATGCTGAGGAGTCCCTGCGATCTCTGAGCTTTCTGGTCTCAGCTCTCGTGCCTGGGACTTCTTCCCTAAGGGTCCATGCGATATAGAGGCCTTAATAATTACATCTACTATTTTGGGGGCTCCTTTTTAATTTTATTGTAACAGTATCATATACCCCAAAACCCTATTCTAATTTGCAAGGCCCCTACATTACCCCAAAAGTATACGCTTTGGCCTTCAAGTAGTCCCTTTATGGATCCTTTAGGGGCGATGTATATACTCTTTGGGTATATCGATCCGTAGGCTTTGTGTTAGGGTTGAGGATTTAGGGTTTCATACTTCAGATCATGGTTTTGATAAGTAGGACTGGCTATTGCCGCATTTCTTGCTACTTCCCGTCCTTGGTTTGATGGCTCAGGATATCAGAACACGGTTTAGAAAAGTAGAGCTGGCTATCGCCGCAGTTCTTACTCCTTGCTGTCAGGTTCTCTTTATCTTCGAAAGGTAGATAAGGACTATGCCCAGAGAGCCCCATACCCCTTGATCAAAGAATATACCTTAAGTCATAATAATAAGGCCCCTATAATTGAAGGTCTATTCCATATTTAAGGGGTATTGGGTTCTATGGGTGGTTAGGATATATCTATAGTCTCCATTGTAGTTCCTTTTCGGGGATGCCTTATAAATTCCTTAATATAGAATTGGTTATACCCCCCAAAAAAGGAACTACAATGNNTGGAGACGATAGGTAGGGTTTGGGTTTCTGTGAGAGTCAATCTCCGTCTCCTACGACCACCGCCTTGCAGGTCCCAAGAATGCGCAAGGGAGCCAGGCTCCTCGCCGTGCCGGGGCGCTCAGCCCATTTAGGGTTTAGGGCTTAGGG